TAGGAAACTTTTCTGAGATCAAGCTTGATGGATAACTGTGCAAAATATTCTACTTAAGTTTGGAAACTCAAAGCTTCCTTAGTTAAAGCAATATACATCTTTGATAGCTTGTATTAATGGGTATGGTAGCTTTACAGAGTACTGTTTACGAATATAATACATACATAGTGCTGGGTTTAAGATTTTATTTGAATGATGTTTAATGTTATGCAAAATAAATTGTTATGTTACATCCACTGTGACATCAACTAAAATGTGAACTAATTTGCATAGGTTAGTACTTTGGGCAGCATGATGTTGCTCTAGTCCACCAAAGCTTAAATATTCACAGTGTAGAGGAAGAAACAGGAATTAAAGCATTTCTACTAAAATATATTTTAATAGCTGGTGTTAACTTTCTGCATAACAAAAGCCAGATTAAGATGATACATCATATGATCCAAGAATAAGTTTATCTGTCCTTTGAAAAACAATTGTTACCTTCAGAACTGTATGCCCCCAAATACAGTACAGTTTTGCAAAATAACTAAAACTTTACACACTTTAAAGCAAACATAAGCCAAACTGCACAGCGGTTCATTTTTGCTTTTTATATCACACTGCAAAAACCAACAGCTGAGAGAGTTTCCACATCATGCTAATCAATGTCAATACAGTCATTGCTGTCTTCCAATGGTCTAGCAATTTCTAATAGTAATATTAAATACACGATTGAAATGCTACAGTATAGCTTATTTTCCCCCCTAAAATAATAATAATTAAACAAATGTCAACAACAACTGGATTACAACTTAAGTACAATATGCAAATTCTATTTATCAGACACAAGAAGCATATGAAATTCCTTTGAATATACTGTTGTAGTGCAGGCAGTTTAGGAAATAGAGCTTTCAGGTTTTCTTTCCAAAGGAGAGATGGGGTTCCTATGGCATAAAGCTGGAGAAAATCACTAAAGCATTGCAAAATGGTTTATTCTTCTACAGCTCACCAGTTTCTTTGCATTTGCCAGCACATTAGTTTGGAGAACTTCTTTCAACAGCATCTTTTGTCTGTATCAGTATATTATTTAAACATTTACTAACTAAAGCATATTCTATGTTTTAAATGGAATATTAATCAACTTAATTAAAACATTTTATACCCTGTACCACCTTCTGCCAAAGACCTTCGTATTTGTCATTTTATTTTCATTGTACCAGACGACATGCAGTCACTGTACAATAAAAACTAGAATTATTACCTTTCCCAAGTACTGGAGACCTTCCATATCCCCTGAGGAACACTCAGTAGGGACACATTTGTCAAAAACATAATCCATGGGAGGTGATTCTCCATCAAATCCCAATCTGCTGAAGTAGTTCATTGTATGTCAAATGTAATCAAGAAAACCCTGTTTCATCAAGATTAAATGCTAATGTTCCATAATGAAAAATTACCACTGCAGTATCTGTACGTAGCTTTGTTTGGAAAATGAAGATTAGCCAGGCAAGAATGAGAATGAAAAGCAAGGCACCCATTTGTTCATCTGTGTATGTATGAATATGCTCTATGTTGTTTTCTATAGTTATATTTGTGTTAGCAAGAATTACAGCATTCTTTACAGAATTCTTTATTTCTAAAATGCTTAAAACAGGAACATGTGAACTTCCAACCTGAACTTTGGAACAGCTTGGGAAATTCAGCTCCTCAAAAGTCCTTTCCTTTCCCCAGAAAATATGTTGACTGCTGGGAGAAAGTACAGTGAGGGGGGCATGCTGTGCTAAAAAAGGAATATTTACCTTAAAGGTGGCAACACAGCATATAACATCTTTTCACCCCTACATCACACTGCATGTAACAGGCTCCAACATATGCCTTGTAAAACCTGTGCTGGCACAATTTACTCTATTACTTACTTTTTCTACCATACAAAATTTAGATCTTAAAAAAACATTTTTCTTAATTGCACTCTGATCATTTTGGGCTTTTGATTGCATTGCTTAGAACAAAGCTGCATAATAACACTATAGTTTGTTTTATATAAAAAAGCAGGAACCATTCCATATAAATATGAATTTCTAAGCATATATGACATAAAAACTCGACTACATGAATGAGGAACTTAAACCAGATCTTAGTAATTCTGCTGACATACCATTCTCAAGACAAATTTATCTTTTTTTTTTTTTTTTTTTTTTTTTTGTAAATTGCTTTAGCAACTCTGTCAGGTTAATGAATATTCTAAATTCATAAAGGAAATTTTATTTCCATTGTTTAGCACAACATAGTTCTCTAATGTCACCAAAGGTTCATTTTCTGATATACTGCTATGCATATAGTGTTCAACACTGCAAGTCATCTCACTTAGGAAGAATGATAGTGTATTTATAGGTGGAGAATCACTTTTTTTATAAGTCACTAAAAATTGCAGCTTTATGCAATATATGTATTCGCTATATTTCTTTTTATTCATATCTGGTAAACGAACTGACTCCTTGCTTTTATTGTTGTCAGCATTACACAGCTAATAGAGCAGCACAGCAGTGACAGCCAATTGTGCCTCAGGCATCATTGAAACATTTTCCAGCCAGTGTAAGATGGAATTCCTTTCTGTTGATGGCTGCTGATGAAAATCAACACAGAAGAAGACTGCTTGTTTCAGCATCCCACATCAGCCTTTTGAAAACTCCATTTGACTTGCAAAGTTGGCTAATTTCATGTGGATGTCACCAGTAATGCATAAGGGTCTGCTGAAGCAGCAGCTCCTTAACACAAAACTTCCAAGAATTTTAAATCACAGCAGTCACCCATAAGGATCACATATTTACAGTAGCAAATCTCAGCTTTTAAATCACATTTTCTGAATGTAGCTGCTCCTGGTCAGCATTAGCCTTGAAATTAAGCTGCTGACAAGAAAGCACAGGCAATTCCAGTGTCATGGACATTTTAACTTTTTTTTTATGCAGTCATTCCATTCTGCTTGGCAGCTGGAATCAGCCCTGTCTTAGCAAGACCTAAAAACAAATTGCATAAGCTTTCCAGTTCCTAATTGTATGCAAAAATAGAACTAGCAGGTATTTGCATTGACAACTTCCAGTTAACATTTAAAAAATCCATATTACCCTCCTTCTTTATTCCCTAAATAGGTATGGCAGAGTTACCTACTTCGTGAAATAAGAAACACAAAACTGTCTATAAGCTCTATATTTAATTCTACTCTAAAAATTTTAGAAATGGAAGAAAACCAGTTCTTTATTCCCTAAATAGGTATGGCAGGGTTACCTACTTCGTGAAATAAGAAACGCAAAACTGTCTATAAGCTCGATATTTAATTCTACTCTAAAAACTTTAGAAATGGAAGAAAACCACTGCAGGTTCAACATTCTGAGGGCTCCTCAAAATTTAACTTCTCCAGCACATGGCTGAACTCCACAAATTATATTATCAGCAAAAACATTTTCTCCCTTACACGTGTCTGCATCCACATGAATAAGTTCCCTCATGAATCTCTAACTCTTTTGTCCTTCCTCACGTAATTTCTCGGTGAGAGGGAGTGCAGAGCCCAGCCAAGGCCAAACCAGTGCCCTGTGACCCACACCTGCTGGTACAGTCCCTCTTACAGGTCCAGTATGTCACCAGTTGTTTGATCCTCTCCTCAGCCTCAGCCTGAGACCTGGATCTCCCAGTTCTGACCATGAGTTAACAGACAGCAAATAGCACATGTGAAGGTTTGTCAGCAGAATACTTTTTCTGTTTCCTACAGATGGATAAACTGAAGCCTAATAGCATAGAGTGTGTCGGACTTTTATTTAGTTAGCTTTCCCTTCAGTGTCAGTTACAAGAAAGATTGAGTCAGTAAAAGAAAACATAGTATTTCTCCACCATTAATCATTTGGCAAGCGTACAACCCACCGTCGGATCACCAAGATTTTTGGAGAGAACTGAAGAAATAGGCCATTGATCTGAAATGCACTACGGTAAGCAGAGCTCTCCTTCACTCCTGGATGGAGGCACAAGTTTTCTGCAGCAGGGGAAGGTACATTAGCTCAGCAGCAAAGCAGCCAGAAGCAAGTTACCTGTGGTAAGGAGGTGGATGTGACTGCACAGCACCAGGGCCTCAGGTGGGAGAGTTATTTACAGCAGCACAGTGAAGGTAAAGGAACTGACACCAAGTATTGGTTGTACGTTGCCCTAATGAAAGTTTCTATTTAAATGCTAAGTATTATTAGAAGGAAACAGAAGACTTGACAGGTTTTGTATTTGAGAGTTTTTCATGGAACATTCCTTGCAAAGACTGATACTGAAGAGCCATGAATCCAGACATGGATCTAACTGATGCAGGTATGCAGGCAAAGCTGACAGGTCAATTGAAAGTAAGAGAAAATGGGCAATCCAGGAATAAATGTGGGTATGCAAGAGTCAGGAAATTTTTGCTGTCAAAATAGACCTGTTTACTGTAAGGCTGCTGGGCAGTAGGGAGTTTTAATGTTGTTTTTTTTACTGGCATATTACTTGTTATTTCAAATGACTGAATTACCTACTCAACATATTAATTTTTATTAGGATGCTAACTACCCAAACATTAAACAACTCCCTAATAATTTGAAGATGTGATCAAACTCAGTGTGTTAACTTCCTGTGACTTGAGCGCCATAAGAAGTGAATCAATTTAATCATTGTTTTTATAAAGAGAAATAATGTATTTGAGGTGTAGGAAAAAGGTATTTACCCTTAACAGCTAATTGACTGAAATCTTGACAGGATTGGCAGCACCAGGCTTCTGTATATGCTTTTTGTTTTGAGAGAGCACTATTATAAGCAATGCTGTTTTCAAAGCTCTGAGCTTCTTGTGATTATCTGTATTTTAAAGGACTCTAAATTGGATTCTGACTGAGAATGCAAACTGTTATACCAGTGATAAAGTAATGGTCATGTATTCTTTAAAGATTCTCCTGATTTTTTTTCTAAAAGGTTAGATTTCGAGTAAATTATAATAAAGCTCAAAGGACTAGAGACAAAAATTAGTTAACAAACTCAATATAATTTGCTGGAAGCATTCCTGTTTTCCCAGTTCTCTGAACAGTACCATACATCCAACCATCATCAATTGGTTGCACATTGATGATATAATCACCATCCCTGAAGGAAACTTCATCTTCATCTTGAGCACTGTAGTCATACATAGCTCTGTATGTTCTCTGTTGAAGGAAAGAAAACAAGGCTGTAAAGGCTCAAGTCTAAACAGAGAGAGATTCCTTCTCTTTGCACGAAGAAGAGGAAAAGAGAAGGAAAAGAGAATAGAGGGAGAAATCACAAGTTATCTGTTGGAAAGGAGAAGTATCCTCTCCACCCTGTCAAATATACAGAGAATACAGCCCCTTGTTCTGAGTAGAAAAATAATTATTTTTGTTAACCTACACTGTCCAAAGGCCTCATGCCAACAGATTTCAAGACATTCACTACATCTTGAAATATTCCAACTGTTGTTTCATTAATTCCCTAGTAACAGTTCATTACATCCAGGCATGGCTAGCTGTGCTTCTGCTCCCTATTTGCATGATTCCCAGAGAGCTTCTCCTGTGTCTTCGCTAGAAAAAGAAGCACATGCTTCATCCAGGTCATTAACTTTGCCATCTCAATGAATATCCTTAATTTTATTAGGATTTTACCTCAAATTAAGAATTACTAATATATCATTCTCTAAAGAAAAAATTAGATGATTTCAAAAAGTCTGTAAAAAATAATTTTATAAATACCCATTTTTGCATATTCAGTTAAAATGTTCTGTTTTGAACATAGTCATATCATTAGCTAAGCCAAATTTCTCTACAATTCTGCCCACTGTAAGCCAAGATTTCTCTATTTTTCTAAATAGAGTATTTGTTTTCACTCATAACCAGTAAAATGCTATCATTTACTAGAATTCAAAGTGGATTTTCAAGCTCAGAGGGAACAGTCTCCCCTTATATCTTAACAAGAGAACAAAACTAGCTCATTTTAAAATTCCCAGCAGTACTTTCTTTTCCTTGCCCTGGCTCTCGACAGAAGTCAAGTGCAGTTCAAGCACCACTGATAATACTCAATTTCCCTTTCAGCAATTTTTGCTATGTTACCATATCTAGCTGAGTTTTTATGGTACAATGATTTAAAGAAAAAACCCCAAACAAAACAGCTAATGTTTGAGTTAAAGCCTAATACTATTGTCTGAACCTTTTAACAAACAACGAACTTTGTTCTGTTTCCCAGCTCAGGAAAACAGCTCTGGATTAGTTTTAGTCCATCTCATATACAGGTTTTTTGAGGATTTTTAAGGAAACTATTTTCTGAAAAGGTGGAGATTACTCCACACAGAGTGAGCAGACCATTTGTCACACATTAGAACTGTGGGATTATCTAATCCAAACACTTTATGGCAAATCATTATCATTGCTCCCAGGCTAGAAATACACTTTTTGTCTTGCTTCTGTCTTTATCATTGGTAGCACAGATTAAACAGCATGGGGAAATCAACTCCTTTTTAAACACTGCAGACCACATTTCCTGACAAGCCTACTCTGAACTGTATTTGAGTCTTGCTCTGTATAATTGTTCTGTGATGTGCCTTGTGATTTTGCTGCCCTACTAAGAGCAATTTTCAACCAGAGATATGTGCTTTCTTAGTGGTTTCTTTATGTCTTCTAAGTGTTCATGGAAGTTGATGAAAAAAAGCATATAGTGCATTGTTTATGCACTACATCACAGCAACTAATTGGGTGGGTCCTATCATCACAGAAAAATTCCTTAAAGATTCACAAATTGAAAAACTAGCAGTCAGAAGACCCTCTGCCTTTGAGAATCTCATTTTCCCCAACTATTTCACCTGGTCTCTCTACTGAGTCTTGAAACTACCTCCAAAAAAGAAGTGAAAAACTATGTTATTGCAAGAAGCTCAGCAGCAGTTAGCTCTTTAAACATTTTATTTCAGAAGAGGGTCCATTTAAGAAAAATGGTAGTAAGTCTACATTTGGCATAAGGCAGCAAATGGATTTTGCTCTGAGCCATGCTTGTATGTCTCCCTTAAATGGGCAAAGACTGAGGGAAGAGATTAAATTTTTTATTAAACTAACATAAAATTGGAAAAATAGAGAGTTTTTGCTCTTTCAGAAGGATGCTCACTCATCCTTCGAGCACCAGGGCAAAGAACATACTACTGCTGTCTCCTTGAAGGCAGCTTGACTACTGTGGTGGCACAGTTGTGAAGACCAGCCAGTAATTTCAAATTTTCAAAGAATTTATTAGGGCCCAAATTGCTGCTGAGAAACCTAAATTTACGGCCTTAACACCTAATTAGATGCTAAATGGCTGTCGGGAGAAATCTCCATAATAATCCTGTTAGCATTTAATACCTAATTATCACTGCAGAGTGTAGTCTGGGCTATATAATTGAGAATTACAATGCCTAAAGGATGCAAAATAGGGATTTTAAAAATGCATTTTAGTGAATTATTCCACTGTCAGTAGTGATTTTAGCAAGTACTGAGTACAAGGGGGTGTAAGAAAAGTTTGGAGTTTTGTAAAGCAGCCAAACACTCACTTATCTCCCACTCCTCGAAGGTCTATCTCACAGCTGCTACTCAGACAGAACAGTAAGTCCTGTGCATATGAAGAACTGAAGCATAGCTATTATACTCCCAGCTCTGCAGCCAGATCTGAGCTGACAGATGTATATTTCCACTTCATCCACCATTTGATAATTATTCTGTGGATGGCTCCTTGACAGGAGCAGTACCAGTTGCAATGTTCTTTGCATATAGCATCTATCAAGGAAAGCCAACTTGCAACATAGGTTTTGTTTTCCTACCACTTTTAGATATCTAAAGCTGTTTGAACACCTCCTGTCATTTTCCAAAGAGGCCAACAGCCTTCAAGAGTCTTTTACAAAACACTTTGTACTCTGAGCAACAATTTAATTCAGCCCATTATGCATTACTGCTCCGAGAAAGTAAGCAGAAGTTGAGAATCAGAAAATAATACAATTTATCTGGAAAAAAATCTACCTAAACATTGTGTTAGAATCATTTCTGATAGAAAATCCTGCTCAAAATTAAATAAACCAAATTGAAAATTTAGAAATTAGAAAATTTCTGTTTCTCAATATAGGAGACTGGTGGACATGATTATAAAATAAATTATAAAATAAACCTTACATGTCTTGGGGACTCTGATCTGAGAACAATACAACAAACCAGCTGAAAGCAGGAGGTTTACTGCAGCAGCTAAGTCTCCAATCATTCCTACCCTGGGATCTTCATCACTCTCATCCTGGAGGTGTCCTGGCCAAACTCAGGCACTTGTGGCTGGCTCTTGTCACCTTCTTTGCTTTTAGTTACATCTCAAAAAACACTTGTGCTTTGAGGTCACTATTTAGTCTCAGATTTCTTTCCTCCAGCCTCCTCCTACTCTTTCTTCTCCTTTTTCTTCCCTCTGCTACCAGCCAGGCAATGCTGCATCTCTGGCAGTACAGCTCCAAGCCCAGAACTGAACAGGCAGCTGAAAGCAATGAACCTAAACATTTTGTAAGTTTGTCAGATCTTCTATGGCATGTCCACACAACATTTTAAAAGCATCCCAGACTGTCATCAGTCTTCACTCTGCATAAATAACCACATCCAAACACATTGCCAACCAGGGGCCTCCCCCCAGCACATGCATAGAAAGTGACAGGTTTCTAGATGTATTTGAGATGTCTCTTTTGGAGAAGAATCATCACCTCAGGGTGATAAGATCATATTCTGTCTTCCTCACCAGACTGGCAAGTTAGCAGTCAGCACCAGACCAGCAGCCCTTGCTATCCTCCCTCTGGAAATGTTTAGGGTTTGTTATCTACAAGGAAATCCACTCAGTTTTTAACAGCAGCAAGATCTGTTCCAACCATGATATTTGCATTTTCTTTTTTCCCCATGATAAACAGCTATTATCACTTAAAAGGATGTCAAGTGACAAGATTCACAAAACGGATAAGAAATCCTGTTGAACTACACAAATTTTATTTCTAAAATCCTTTAACATCTCTCTCTTCCTTTTCTTATTACCTTCATGTTCCCAGTTCTGGAAGAAGAGACAAATAAATGATGATTGAAATATTGTTTCATCAGGTAAGTCACTGAGATGGAGACATATTGGAGAAACAGTAGTCATCTACCTGCCCACATAGCTGCAAAGGCTGCTAAGTCTTTTCAAGACTTGCAGGCAGCTCTGTCTGCTGGATTTGAAGGCTGCCTGTTTTGCTTCCCAAGGACTTGTAAATCTGGTAGCAAAGCCCAGGCTTCCAGGTCTCTCAGGTTTTGGACTCTGGCCCTTTTGGAAAGCAGCCAGATGCCCAAATGCCTTGCAATCCTTTTCTAAATTCATGGTTGATTCCAGTATCAGCTTTCCTGCAGGTGTGCAAAGAGTTTCTCAGGTTATTGACTCACTCAAAGCTGCAGGTATCTGGACCTCAGACTTTCCAGCAAGTTAGCACCCTAAGCCACAGGCAGGTGAAAGCACCCACACCTCACACAATGTCATGATCTTTACAATATAAAAAGTCACAGAGTTTCAGTCTTACAAAAAAATACAAATTTTAGGTAATCTTGCAAACGGCGTTTTTCAGCTTAGCAAGCTCTAAGTTTGGTTCACAATGAAATGTTTCTTCATCTCTAAAAACATTCACAGATGCAGTAAAAATACAACCATTCAAAACAGATTAAAATTCAAAATTACAAGTTAATATTTTTATGGTTAAAGGTGACTGGATCTGAACTATGAAACCTCTAGGCAGCTATATGAATATTGAGAAATATGGTAACCACTAAAACTGAACTTTATATATAAAGAGTTCAAATAGGAAAAAAAAGCTCAATTTCTTAAAAATCCCAGCTGAATACCCATTCAGCTCTCCTTCCATGGCCAGTTGCTTCTAAAATGAAGTATCCACTCTAGCTTTACATTCCCATCCACCACAATTAAGAACTTTGTGACGTGGCCATGGTTTCATGATAAAACTCCTTCTCAGTTGCCCATCAGTATAACTCAGTTTGAATCAGACACGAGCCAGTGCGTGACTGTTCTGTTGAATTAGAAAGGGCACACCAATCTGGAGTCTGAGCTAGCTTTATACAAGCAGAAATAAGTAATATGGATAGGCACAAAGCCTGCTAGTACAAAATCAGCAAGTCAAAAAAATTGAAACTAATTTAAACCAACAGGGTGATCTTAAGAGATCAGTATTTTTCATCCAGTGCTATGGCATGTCCACACACACAGAGCATGAATTCATCACAGAGCATAACATCAAAGTTCAGTCTGTGAAGTACTGTCCAAGCATTTACTATTTATTTTAAGTAAGCAAAAGATTCAGTTATTTCTCTGCCTTCTGGATATCATAAATGATTTTTTTAATGCATTCTGATGTAAAAGTTCTTACCACTGCCCATAAGTCACTTATATCTTTTTTACACATGAGGACTGTCACTCATGTTTAGGACTAGGAAAAATAGTTTCACTGTAAAACTCAAGGGGATCAATTGACTGATATTCAAGAGATTTCACAATAGCTGACGATGTTGCTTACCAAACAAAATTGTCCTTCAAATCCAATACTCACCAGATTTGCTGAATGAGGCTGTGAATGCATGGACCTCATGGATGACATACTGGTCTGGTGCATGTATCCATATCCTTGAGTTGGGCTTTGCTGGTATGCCCCAGGGAGAACAGGGGCTGTGTAGAAGAAATATGGATATGTTAATTAAGCTTTAAAAGTTTGCTTACCAAACAAAATTGTCCTTCAAATCCAATACTCACCAGATTTGCTGAATGAGGCTGTGAATGCATGGACCTCATGGATGACATACTGGTCTGGTGCATGTATCCATATCCTTGAGTTGGGCTTTGCTGGTATGCCCCAGGGAGAACAGGGGCTGTGTAGAAGAAATATGGATATGTTAATTAAGCTTTAAAAGTGTATCTAGCACTGGTATGCCCCAGGGAGAACAGGGGCTGTGTAAAAGAAATACAGATATGTTAATTAAGCTTTAAAAGCAGTCTGTATCTAGCAGTTTGTAGAAATTGGAGATTATTTGCATTGTCAATAACAATCCCTCCACATAAAATGGTTCAGAATGATTTCCATATACAACACAAGGCTTTTCATAGGTTGACTTCTACATAAATGCAGCTTAAGCTATCGTCATACATATCCACAAACAGTGTTTAGCTGGAGGGAAAAGCTTAACACACCATTACAAGGCTGACCATAAAAAGTTGTATGAAAGCTTGAGACACCACTAACTCAATTTTAATACTGACATAGGTGAAGCATTAAATAGATGTCCAATAAACTGCCATTTAAAAGGAAAGATTGATGAAAAAAGAAATATTTTGAAATGTTTCAGTAGAAATTCAGTAGAATTCTTCACTCATTGCAAACTAACTCTTATTTATTGGGCTATGAACAAGGGAGAATTGTGATTTACAGAAAGACACAGAAAAGTGAAAAAGTGACTTCATTCCCCATTGAAATTCTCAGTTATTCTGATTCCATCAACATTCTTAGTCAAACACAGAGAACAGTGCTTACTTAAATATTTCAAAGTCCACCTTTTTCATTATCTACCTTCTACCACTCAATTGTTCCATCTCTTTAATATATATTTTATTCACATAATTTTAACAATTATATTACTGTAACAATTCTGTATTTTAATCATTAATATATTGACTTCCATTGTACCAAGAGCTGTTGAAAGCATTAATACAACCAACAGGGAATGCCTATTGCTTACTAGGAAAGCATCAATGAACCTTCCCCATCTGCCCCAACACCTTACCTTGGCAACAGACAGAAACAGAGTGTTAAACATATGCTTGATCAAAAAACTGTGAGAAATAAGCCCAGCATAAATGACTACTCACTGTTTTCCTAGCAAGGCCAATAAGCATTTTTGAAGGAAAATTGAGAGACTGAAGTGGTTTTCAAAATCTGAAGATCTAAAGATTAAAAGTTTAGCCACTGCATATACATTCATGCTTTACAAGACTCTCATGCACTCTCAGAATAAAGACTTCTGGTTTGTATGGATGTTATTAGCCCAGACTCTCATGCACTCTCAGAATAAAGATTTCTGGTTTGTGTGGATGTTATTAGCCTCTCTCCACTATTATTTACCAGAATCTTACTAGTTCAACTGGAAATTCATTTATCTACACTGAAAAGAAACTTCATTTCTGCTGATAGTTCTTCAAGTGGTCCATTGAGCTGATATTCTATCTAACTCCTTGCCAAAATCTGTCTTTCATTTAAAGAGATTGAGCCTGTACAGCACACGAGTCAAAAATCTTCAAACATGGAGTCATTCAGCAGATCAACACTTTCTGAGATTGATCTCTTGAGCTTGCTGGGAAATAAGAACCACTTCTGGAGCAGCCATCACACACAGATTCACAAAGGAGTAAAGCTAATGTAGGATTTAGTGGGGTTTGCAATGCGTGGAAGGATCCAGGACTCATAAAATTAAAAAATACATGGGAAAAGTAGGAAACCCCATTTAAAAAAATTTTTTTACATGTAAGAAGTATTCACATTTAAACTAATAATATTCTGTTTGTCTCTGCTTCTTGAGTGATGAGGACAAGAAATGCATGTGAAAAGGGATTACTGAGAAAATGTTTGCTGAACTGCTTCAGAAAGAAAAGTCAATCTTGTGTTTTCAGCAAGTAATTTTACTGATCCTGCTCCTCCAACTAACAAAATCACTGATTTCAACAAAGGTTCTTCTTAAAATGTCCATTTAGTTTTAGTTAGCATATTCAAATGTGGTAAGTGTATAATTACAATTTGGGATGCTACTTTTTGCTCTACTATACGTGTAAAGTTAAGTGTATACTTCACTAGGGGTTTTTTTTTATTTGGAAAACATGTTTCAGACTATTGTAATTAATAGATTGTTTTGTTAAGTGGGTGAAATAAAAGTGATACACAATCAGATGCAGCACTGGAACATGACAAATAATGAATGTTTTATAAGTACATTCTAACAACATAAAAGTAGAAAGACATTTTAAAGCATCAGAGAATTGTTGCTCACTAACATGTTCACAGGATTACCATGCATTAAGTGAATAGTCCTAAATTCATCAAATAATATCTTTCAATGCTGCTACAAGCTATTTCTAAATGACCAGATGTGGCCCTTCATAAGAAAACAGAGAAAAACATAATTTAATCAAAGGTTCTGCAATCTAGCTGGAATTAATACATCTTGCTTAATTCACCACCAGCATCAGTACAGGACAGTTCATAGCAGCCAACAGAGTCTCATCTCCTCATACCAGCAGTAAAATGTGAGTTGAAAAGCTGAACTTTTTAATTTAACAGGAAGAGGAATCTTCAGCCAACAGTGGCCACTGCTCAGTAAGCACACAGGCTGCTCTGCAGTGACAAAGGTCTGGTGGCTTTTCCCTGGTCACTGGCAGAGACAGACACTCTGAGAGCCCCTTCCTTCTTCCTAAGAGAAACAGAGATGCTGGCAGGAACCTCTTTCTCTTGATTCCTTCTCCCCAAATCATGTTTTTCTCAATTCCTACCAATAATCCCTTGTCCACATAAGGCAGCAAGTCTACTGATGGTCAACTTCATTACAGCCTCCCATACCTCCTGCCCCTGTGACCAGTGACAGCAGCAGGGCTGACATGTGCTTTCCTCTTTAGCAATCAGTCTCTCATGAGCTGATGGAAACCATCAATCCACAGAAATAAAGCATTTCACCCAAAGCAGGAGAAATTTTGGGAAGAGTTAGAAAACAAGCATTAGAAAAAGATTCCATAAAAACAAAAAGAAGGAATTTCTAGCATTAGCTATGCTAATTATCTTCTAGTCCTTTATTTAAGTATCATGTATGTGAGCATACATATCAGCACATATTAGTGTTGAAGACAATTGAATAATTCCACGTGGGGTTTTTTCTTCCATTAAAAGAATACTGTATTAGGGCTGCAAAAAAGAATCATTATTTTTTAACAAGTTTTTACAAAAAATACTTAAGAAGCATCCAGATGCTTGTCTATTTGGAAGACAATTTGGGAGTCACATAAATAAGCTGAATACTGAAGAGACAAGAAATCTGAGCTGTGTTTCTGGTGACATACAGATAATTCAAGGTGAGATTAAATGATGCACAGAAAGAGTTTGACTTTTCCTCATCATCATCACCCATAGTTAACTGCAACCTTTTGACTCAGACTGAAGTATAAAGTTCTATAACATCATTGCAGCAGCAGCAAAAGCAAAGGTTTTAGTTAACCTAAGGGAAAAATAAAATACAGTGGTGGAATGTGAAATTCATTTAACTGAAGCCAGATTTATTGGTGAGGGAGCTGAGGGCTGCCCAATGCTCCCAGAAGTACAGGTGGATGTTTTTTCTTGTTGCATTAAGACTTTACCAGATGCATTCTGATGTATCAAAACTTACTTCTTTTTTTTTTTCTTTTCCCACTTACCAAGCAAGCCAGATAATTCATTTTAAATTATCCACTTGACGAAATTTACCATATATCTCTTACTATAACTTTAAAAGCTTCCCCAGAGAAAATGGAAAGGAAAATGAATGGTCATAAGGCAAACAAAGAGGAAGCATTCAAGAAAAAGAAGCAGCTGAAAGAATGATAGTGAGTATCAATGCTGCCACAGACAATGGGTCTGCAGAGCATGGACTCATCGGGACATGCTTTGAGAAGAACTGGGAAAGAAAAAGGTCAGATTGTGGCAACAGGAAAGGAACCATTAAGCAAGTATTGTATAACTACAAAGTTTAAAAAAGTGTTTATGCTAAAAATAAAAATAATTTCAAGGTTAGGTTCCAAGATCTATTGTATCAAAACCATACTGAAACTCTCTTTCATCCTTTTGTACAGCAGAACCATGGTAAAACCATGTATCCTCACTGCTAACTACCACACTTCTGCCATTTACTGCAACACATGCCATTTACTGGAACTGATATAAAATAACAATCCCTTCATTTACTCTCACAGACATTGTGCAGTTTAAAGCATTTATTTCACTTCCTATACTACCTCAATTCATGGTTACACTCCTAAGACTTTAGGGAAGCCACAATGAATTTTGCAACACTTTGTAATAACAACATGAGAGAGCACGAAGTAAAAAGATTATGATTATGATTAGTACATGCTTAATTCTAGTGTCTACAAGACTCTAGAAATGAAGCTGTAGATTTTCTGAGGGACACAAAAGCTGCAATAGAGCCAGAATAAAACATCACCATACATCTCTGTGTTACTGCCATTATGACTAGTTCCCCCAAAACAGATCAAGCTGCTTTATGGGAATCATTTGGCTCCACATATATTGAAGTACTTCCCGTTTCATTTTTCTGCTGCCTTATGTCCCACAGGTCACAACATCTAGAGCAGGCCTAATGGCCTCTCTTTTGAAAGCTTCCCCATAGCTTTCAGTTCCTTGTTGCTTTTGCCCTTTTGTCCCATGCAACAGAAGACATAGTGGTGGAATCACATGTGGGGACATGAAGACCTAGAGTACACTTCTGTGCCCAAATGGCACAACCCCCTTGACCACCTCCCAGTGCAAGTTACAAGAATACATAGTTAAGGAAATATAACCTGGGGAAATACAGGAAATACAGCTGTTATTGCTGTGTTGAAGCTGATGGGTAATAACAACTGATACTCTCCACAAAGAGTCACAGAGGTAACTTTGGTTACAAACTCTGGCTCAGTACTTTTAGTTTTCTATCACTTTCCCCAGATGCCAGCTGCTGCACCCCATCATTACCATATTTACAAATATTTGAAGAGACTTTTTTTGTTGGAAGAATCCTCTAGAAGTAACATAGTCCATCCCCCACATAGAACCCGGGTCTAATTTGCAGTTAGGTTGGGT